GAGTATCAATTCTCATTGATGAAAAAAGAAGTCCCATTTTAAGTCTACAGAAATTACTACAGACCCAATGGACGTTTTTATAATGGTAAAGGAAACCTGGCACAAGACAAAGTCACATTACTGAATTGTTATTGCCCAAATGAAGACAACCCAAAGTTAATTAATGACCTCATACTAAATCTATCTCAATGTAAATGAAATATTATATGGGGGTGATTTTAACTGTGTATGGGATGCAACTGTCACGCTCTGGCTCCGGGACTGTGTATTTTGAGCCAGGGTGTGTTCATATGGTTGTGGTTGGTATTTGGTTGTGTTGTATTTTGGTTGTTTCCTTGTTTGGTCGTGTGACTCCCAATCAGTGGTAACGAGTGTCAGCTGTCGGCTCGTTATCTCTGATTGGGAGCCATATTTAAACTGTCAGTGTTTAGCTTAGGGTTGTGGGTTTTTGTTCCTTGTCAGTCATTGTAACTGAGGACTTCACGATTCGTCGTTTGTTGTTTTTTTGTAGTGAGTACTTTAATTTAATAAAGTCATGTTCGCTCAACGCGCTGCGCTTTGGTCTCCCTCATTAGACGATCGTGACAGCAACTCTAGACAAGCCATCCGCTAAACTATATCCTCTTCCTAACATGTCTAAGGTATTAAACCACAACATCAAAGAGATTGGATATATAACCATCCAACTGAAAGAGAATACTCCTTTTAGTCTGACGTCCTCATATTCAAGGCTGTATTTTTTTTTTTTTTTGTAAACTTTCCTTGACTGTTTCTGAATGTAAATACCTCCGTAGAATAATTATGGACCATAGCCCCTTTTTGTCTTTCACGTTTTAAGCTCAAACCTCCTATGCGAAGACACGGCGATTTTAAAACACAATGTTGCTCGGAGATATGGAGTTTACCTCGTATCTCGGCAACCTGTCACCAGTGGTCCTCCTTCACCTGTGAGTCCTCACCCGGGTTCTAATTTAGAACCCAAGAATAGAACAGAGAACACAGCTGATTCTGAGCGTTCTGAGGGTAGTGGTGAAGCAAGCTGCCTTGTTATGTCTGGCAATGTGATTCTTCACAATTCCAAAAGCATTAGCTGATGCTCTGTGGGCAAATGAGTCTAGACGGCAGCCTATGTACTGTACGTAGACAGCCTCGCTATATTCATTATCATGGCATTGCATTGGATATTGACATAATTTCCCCCTGTTTGTCAGGCATGGGGATGACCTTCCATTCCACCAGAGGGTTGCTCTGCTAAAGCACGCAGACAATCAGTGAACTTTGAGAATAAAATTAATCTCTGGTTTCTTCTACTGGAGTGACTGGACCCCGAAGTTAATGCATTAGAGTGGTAAACAGACAGTCAGTCACAAGGTCCTGCCCTGTATGTTCAAAACGGTCTGCTTCGGCCAGGGTCTTTATTAAAACTGAACCCACCAGATGTACCCATCGTGATTTGGAGACGTTTGAATTCAGCAGACTTCCCTTTTGGGTTTTTCAGAACAAACAGAGCGTCATTTGTTACACATCTTCCTGTCTTCTGTGTTCTAAAAGGTCTGTGGAGGATATTTGTAAAAAAATAACAGTCGGATACATTAAAAAGATATCCGAAGAAATATGTTTAAAAAACAAATCTCATCCAATTCGTGGTAATTTTATTAACTCTAAAATAGTTTATTTTTTACAGTAATACATTTAGTAAAGAAATAATAAAGTAATAGTTTAAGTCATACCTTTCATGCGCTAATCTAATGTCTAGGATTGTAATTATTAATTTTTTAATTTGCTACAGTATAATAAAATATGTTTACTGAGACTGTCTTCCATCCAATTAGTGGAATTTTAATTACCTCTGAATATAAATAGTAAAAAAATAATGTTAATTAAGTGATTTTTCTGAGTTGACTAAATAGCAGTAACACATCTTACTTCTTTACATTTCTTACTTTCCATGTCTATTTTAGGACTACTGCACCTGAGAGGCTAACCAAAGATACACATACATATATATATATACATAGCTAATTAGCCCTCCTACATCTTTCATATGTATTATTAGTGGTACTTGAGAGAGAACATTCGTGCACCTCAAATGGCACCCTATTCCCTATATAGTCCACTGCTTTTGACCAGGTGAGTAGCGCACTATATAGGGAATAGGGTGGTATTCGGGACGCTGGCGTAATGTTGAGCATCCTGTTCCCAACCGGTTTACCACATTAGCCTACAAATCAAATCAAATCAAATCAAATCAAATCAAATCAAACACATAGCCTACAGACGATAGAGCCACGTGAACAGTTCTGCTGCCTCCACATTAAAGTCTTCATGATAATTCCACAGTACAAAGTCATTATTATTATTATTATTCACTATATTAACAATGTAAAGTACAGTATAGGTTTAAAAACATACCACTTATAAGTGCTATAAGATTTCAATCTTATCCTCCATGTTCCAAAGCCCATTTACCTCATTTAGCTAGAGGAGAGATCCTTATCACACTGGACCGCTTGAAAATCCTTGATGGCCTTTTTTTATGGGATAGAAATGTAATTGAACTGAAATTAAAGGCGTGCCACATTAAAGTGTTCTTGATGATTCCACAGTACAAAGACCTCATTATTCAACGCATGACCAATGTAAAGTACAGTAAAGGTTTAAAACACACCACTTATAAGTGCTATAAGATTTCAATCTTGCCGTTAAAACACTTAAGTATCTTTGGAAGTCTATTAGATTAAAAAGGAACTTGAGTTAAAAGAAAAATGAATAAATAAAAAGAAACAAGGTGCTATTTCCAACCAGTCTGAGTCAGGATAGAGGGAACAAATGGCACCCTATTCCCTACATAGTTCACTACTTTTGACCAGGGCCCATAGGGTAGTGCACTATATAGGGAATAGGGTGCCATTTGGGATGTAACCACACACTAACTACATGACCTAGTTGGTACCCTGAGGGGATGATTTTAGCTCATATCTGCTGATGAGGCGAAAGCAGAAAGCAACATTAACTTAGCAGGGGAACGAGAGTAGCCTTTGAAAAACAAATATGAATAAGTAAACAAACAAACAAGAAGCGGAGCGGAGAAGGACTTGTTTAGAATATTTAATTATTTAGAACCTCTAGTTAACCTTTGACCCTCGAAAATCGGACTGGACAACAGGGTGAGTATGAGCTGGCACCCTATTCCCTATGTAGGGGATTCCTTTTGACCAGGGCCTCTGATCAAAAGTAGTGCTATTCCTTTAGGAAATAGGGTGTTAGACACAGTCCTGGATGAAGGTGTTGAAACAGTGTTAGACACAGTCCTGGATGAAGGTGTTGAAACAGTGTTAGACACAGTCCTGGATGAAGGTGTTGAAACAGTGTTAGACACAGTCCTGGATGAAGGTGTTGAAACAGTGTTAGACACAGTCCTGGATGAAGGTGGTGAAACAGTGTTAGACACAGTCCTGGATGAAGGTGTTGAAACAGTGTTAGACACAGTCCTGGATGAAGGTGGTGAAACAGTGTTAGACACAGTCCTGGATGAAGGTGTTGAAACAGTGTTAGACACAGTCCTGGATGAAGGTGTGAAACAGTGTTAGACACAGTCCTGGATGAAGGTGTTGAAACAGTGTTAGACACAGTCCTGGATAAGGTGGTTGAAACAGTGTTAGACACAGTCCTGGATGAAGGTGTTGAAACAGTGTTAGACACAGTCCTGGATGAAGGTGTTGAAACAGTGTTAGACACAGTCCTGGATGAAGGTGTTGAAACAGTGTTAGACACAGTCCTGGATGAAGGTTTAAAGATGTTAGACATCCATGAGGTTTAAAACATGTTAGACATCTGTCCTGGTAGGTTGGGTTATAAATGTTAACACATCCTGGATGACGGTTGAAACATTTAGACACATCCTGATAAGGTGACAACATTTAACACAGCGAAAGGTTAAACAGTAGACACAGTCCTGGAAAGGGTAAACAGTGTTAACCACATCCGATGAAGTTGAAACACGTGTTACACACAGTCCTGAGACAGTGTTGAAACAGTTTAGACACAGTCCTGCTGAAGGTGTGAACAGTGTTACACATCTGGTGAGGTTGTAAACAGTGTTAGACACATCCTGATGAGGTGGTGAAACAGGTAGACACATCCTGAGAGGTGAAACAGGTTAACACATCCTGGATGAAGGTGTTGAAAACAGTGTAGACACAGTCCGGATGAAGGGTTGAAACAGTGTTAACACATCCAATGAAAGACTTAAAGTATTTTTCATGAAAACAAAGGAAATCTTATAAATACATACAACCATCCTTCCAGTCAGGTTGGGATTTATAAAAACACACATCTAGTACGACGTGCACACACACACACACACACACAACACACACAAACACCACACACACACACACACAACACACACACACACACTACACACTCCTCCTGAAGTAACAATGTAGTTACAACAAGAGGATAGGAGGAGACACAAAGACATTCTAGAACAGCAACACTCCCTACAGCAAACACACACACACACACACACACACACAACACACACACACAACACACACACACAACAACACAACACACACAACACACACCGACATACACACACACACACACACACACACACACACACACACACACACACACCACACAACACAACACATACACAACCACCTAACAATACAAACACACACACACAACACACACACACACACACACACTATATACACACACACACACACACACACCACACACACAATATACACACACAGACACAACAACACACAACACACACACATGCCACATATACACACACACAAACACCACCACACACACCCACCACACACATTACACCCCTACAGCAACACACACACACACACAACATACACACACACACCACACACACACTATACACACACATCACACACACACAGCACGATCACACACACTACATGGCACAGCTACACACACAATCACACACAACACACACACACACACACACACCAGGCAGCAGCGGGGTCCTCCCTACAGGCAGCAGCGGGGTCCTCCCTACAGGCAGCAGCGGGGTCCTCCCTACAGGCAGCAGCGGGGTCCTCCCTACAGGCAGCAGCGGGGTCCTCCCTACAGGCAGCAGCGGGGTCCTCCCTACAGGCAGCAGCGGGGTCCTCCCTACAGGCAGCAGCGGGGTCCTCCCTACAGGCAGCAGCGGGGTCCTCCCTACAGGCAGCAGCGGGGTCCTCCCTACAGGCAGCAGCGGGGTCCTCCCTACAGGCAGCAGCGGGGTCCTCCCTACAGGCTGCCCAATCTGCTGCTAGATCCTGTCCCTATGGGGCCTGGCTCTGCTCACCAGACACTCACACACACACACACACACTAGCCCCACGACCCAACACACACACACACTAGCCCCACGACCCAACACACACACACACTAGCCCCACGACCCAACACATACTCACCCCCCCCCCCTGGTGTGCCAGGGTACGAACGCTGCCTGCTGAGGCCAGTGTTTTCACACCGCCTGTAAAGACCACCATTAGGAACTCAGGGTGAGACCGTTATATCTCACAGAAATCTCTTCCTGGAAATAGGAAATAGGGCTGTTGATGCCAAATGGTACCCAATTACCTGTATAGTGCAACACATATGGAAAGTAGCAGAGGTTTTGGAACACCTACTCATTCAACAGTCTTTCTTTATTTTTACTATTTTCTAGAATAATAGTGAAGACATCAAAACTATGAAATAACACATATGGAATCATGTAGTAACCAAAAAAGTATTAAACAAATAAAAATATATTTTATATATTTGAGATTCTTCAAATAGCCACCCTTTGCCTTGATGACAGCTTTGCACACTCTTGGCATTCTCTCAACCAGCTTCATGAGGTAGTCACCTGGAATGCATTTCAATTAACAGGTGTGCCTTGTTAAAAGTTAATTTGTGGAAATCATTTCATGTAGGCCTGATTACCAACAATGACGAGACAGCCTACAGGGAGGAGGTGAGGGCCCTGGCAGAGTGGTGCCAGGAAAATCAAAACAAAGGAGCTGATCGTGGACTTCAGGAAACAGCAGAGGGAGCACGCCCCTATCCAGATCGACGGGATCGCAGTGGAGAAGGTGGAAAGCTTCAAGTTCCTCAGTGTACACATCACTGACAATCTGATATGGTCCACCCACACAGACAGTGTGGTGAAGGCACCTCTTCAACCTCAGGAGGCTGAAGAAAGACCCTCACAAACTTTTACAGATGCACAATTGAGAGCATCCTGTCAGGCTGTATCACCGCCTGGTATGGCAACTGCACCGCCGCAACCGCAGGGCTGTCCAGAGGGTGGTGCTGTCTGCCGAACGCATTACCGGGGGCAAACTACCCACCCTCCAAGACACATACAGCACCCGATGTCACAGGAAGGCCAAAAAGATCATCAAGGACATCAACCACCCGAGCCACTGCCTGTTCACCCCGCTATCATCCAGAAGGCAAGGTCAGTACAGGTGCATCAAAGCGGGGACCGAGAGACTGAAAAACAGTTTCTATCTCAAGGCCATCAGACTGTTAAATAGCCATCACTAGCCGGCTACCTCCCGGTTACTCAACCCTGCACCTTAGAGGCTGCTGCCCTATATACATAGACATGGAACACTAGTCACTTTAATAATGGAACACTAGTCACTTTAATAATGTTTACATACTGCTTTACTCATCTCATATGTATATACTGTATTCTATTCTACTGTATTTAGTCAATGCCACTCTGACATTGCTCGTTCTAATATTTATATATTTCTTCATTTAAATTTTTTTCTTTTAGATTTGTGTGTATTGTTGTGAATTGTTAGATACTACTGCACTGTTGGAGCTAGGAACACAAGCATTTAGCTACACCCGCAATAACATCTGCTAAATATGTGTATGTGACCAAGAAAATTTGATTTGATTTTATTGTTTAATATACTGTAGATTTGATGAGGTGCTGTGAGGACAGGGTGCTGTGTTGAATATACTGTAGATTTGATGAGGTGCTGTGAGGACCAAGGGTGCTGTGTTGAATATACTGTAGATTTTGATGAGGTGGTGCTGTGAGGACAAAAGGTGCTTGTGTTGGAATATACTGTAAGATTTTGATGAGGTGCTGTGAGGACAAGGGGGTGCTGTGTTTTGAATATACTGTAGATTTGATGAGGTGCTGTGTAGGACAAGGGTGCTTGTGTTTAATATACTGTAGATTTGATGAGGTGCTGTGAGGACAGGGTGCTGTGTTGAATATACTGTAGATTTGATGAGGTGCTGTGAGGACAAGGTGCTGTGTTGAATATACTGTAGATTTGATGAGGTGCTGTGAGGACAGGTGCTGTGTTGAATATACTGTAGATTTGATGAGGTGCTGTGAGGACAGGGTGCTGTGTTGAATATACTGTAGATGTTGATGAGGTGCTGTGAGGACAGGGTGCTGTGTTGAATATACTGTAGATTTGATGAGGTGCTGTGAGGACAGGTGCTGTGTTTGATATACTGTAGATTTGATGAGGGTGCTGTGAGGACCAGGGTGCTGTGTTGAATATACTGTAGATTTGATGAGGTGCTGTGAGGACAGGGTGCTGTGTTGAATATACTGTAGATTTGATGAGGTGCTGTGAGGACAGGGTGCTGTGTTGAATATACTGTAGATTTGATGAGGTGCTGTGAGGACAGGGTGCTGTGTTGAATATACTGTAGATTTGATGAGGTGCTGTGAGGACAGGGTGCTGTGTTGAATATACTGTAGATTTGATGAGGTGCTGTGAGGACAAGGGTGCTGTGTTTGAATATACTGTAGATTTGATGAGGTGCTGTGAGGACAGGGTGCTGTGTTGAATATACTGTAGATTTGATGAGGTGCTGTGAGGACAGGGTGCTGTGTTTAATATACTGTAGATTTGATGAGGTGCTGTGAGGACAGGGTGCTGTGTTGAATATACTGTAGATTTGATGAGGTGCTGTGAGGACAGGGTGCTGTGTTTAATATACTGTAGATTTGATGAGGTGCTGTGAGGACAGGTGCTGTGTTGAATATACTGTAGATTTGATGAGGTGCTGTGAGGACAGGGTGCTGTGTTGAATATACTGTAGATTTGATGAGGTGCTGTGAGGACAGGGTGCTGTGTTTAATATAGTCAAGCTATTATGTCCTGGTATGGTCGTGATGAATGCTATTTGGGAGGATCAGAACAGTAGAGGTGGACGGGGCCACAGCACTGGCTGGATTTGTGTTGTGTAGGTGTGTGTGTGTGTTATGGTGTCACTGACTATGACCTCTTTATTTCTGGAACAAGTCAGTTTGGTTCAGATAATCAACTCCTAGAGCGTCTACTGAGAACTGGAAACCGATACACTAAATCCTCCCGAGTGGCGCAGTGGTCTAAGGCTCCGCATCGCAGTGCTAGCTGTGCCACTGGAGATCCTGGTTCGAATCCAGGCTCTGTCGTAGCCGGTCACGATCGGGAGACCCCATGGGGCGGCGTGCAATTGGCCCAGCGTCGTCCAGGGTAGGGGAGGGGAATGGCCGGCAGGGATGTAGCTCAGTTGATAGAGCATGGCGTTTGCAACGCCAGGGTTGTGGGTTTGATTCCCACAGGGGGTATTAAAAAAATAAAAAATAATAATGTATGCACTAACTGTAAGTCGCTCTGGATAAGAGTGTCTGCTAAAATGTAAAGGTTAAGACAGTACAGCTGACTTACAGGTCACACACACACACACACCCTGTCACGTGGAGCTGACCTTTAAGAGGTGCCAGACTCAGCCACTGAGAAGCCTGCTGCCGCCGTTGGAACTCACCTGGTAGAGAATTAATACACTCCAATAACTAATATCAAAAGGAACAGGAGAAGAGAGAAGATGGAGGAGGAGTATGGAGCTTGTAGAGCTAAAGATGGACGACGTTTCCAGTTCGACGTGGAAGCTGTTAGCTGTTCTTCTCATTCGTATAATTGACGTGTTTTCTGAACGTAGGTTTCTCTATGCCTCAAGCAGCTTGACATTTCTGTCGGCATCATCTACCTTTCAGCCAGCAGAAGGAGAAAGGGAACCGAGAGGAAAGATTGGAAATAGTGAGGAAACATTGCAGGTGGTTCGGATAGGAAGATTGGAGGCCCTTTCCCTATCGAGTTTAAAAAAAACGCTGCAGAATCAGGATCTAGCCATCAAACATGATTTAAAACCTCAGGGAGCCGTCATCCAGATGAATACAATCTCTTTACGCAGCAAAATGCTCATCAAATGTCAACTTTCGAGAGATGGGAGATTGTTGACCTTTTTGGGTTGTCTTTCCTCCTTTTGACTTTAAAGAGGAGGAGTGTGGGCCTCCTGCCACTCTGTGGAAATGTCTCACTTCCTCCTCTCCTCTGTGCTGCTTCCTGCCAAACCATCCTCAACATTCTCTGTTCTGTCTTTGGTAGCAGTTATTTGTGTTCTGTTTCAGAGTGAAACTTGAGAAAAAATTAGAAACCTGCACACTGCTCTTGCTACTGTCGCTGCTCTTTATTAAAGCGTTACGTATCGGCCTCAAAAGGCCTCCGTCAGAGCTTTTGAGTGAAACTTGACAAATGTGAATTCAAAGGCAGGCTGGTTCCACCTGGGAATACTACTCTCCACAGGAGGCACTCCTTCACATTTAGATGAGTTTTTTTTCCTCCTGGAATCAGCCAGAAGGAGGTCTATAGGGGGAGTGTGAGTGTGAGTGTGAGTGTGTGTGTGTGTGTGTGTGTGTGTGTGTGTGTGTGTGTGTGTGTGTGTGTGTGTGTGTGTGTGTGTGTGTGTGTGTGTGTGTGTGTGTGTGTGAGTGTGAGTGTGAGTGTGAGTGTGAGTGTGTGTGAGTGTGTGTGTGTGTGTGTGTGTGAGAGAGAGATGTCTTCAGGGGTGGTTAGGTTGTGCAGTGTAGCTACAGTTGAAGTCGGAAGTTTACATACACTGTAGGTTGGAGTCATTAAAACTCGTTTTTCAACCACTCCACAAATTTTGGCATGTCGGTTAGGACATCTGCTTTGTGCATGACACAAGTAATTTTTCCAACAATTGTTTACAGACAGATTCTTTCACTTATAATTGACTGTATCACTATTTACATACACTAAATTGACTGTCCTTTAAACATTCTGGAATATTCCAGAAAATGACATCATGGCTTTAGAAGCTTCTAATAGGCTAATTGACATCATTTGAGTCAATTGGAGGTGTACCTGTGGATGTATTTCAAGGCCTACCTTCAAACTCAGTGCCTCTTTGCTTGACATCATGGGGAAATCAAAAGAAATCAGCCAAGACCTCCGAAAAATAATTGTAGACCTCCACAAGTCTGGTTCATCCTTGGGAGCAATTTCCAAACGCCTGAAGGGACCACGTTCATCTGTACAAACAATAGTATGCAAGTATAAACACCATGGGACCACGCAGCCGTCATACCGCTCAGGAAAGAGACGCGTTCTGTCTCCTAGAGATGAACGTACTTTGTTGCGAAAAGTGCAAATCAATCCCAGAACAACAGCAAAGGACCTTGTGAAGATACTGGAGGAAACAGGTACAAAAGTATTTATATCCACAGTAAAACAAGTCCTATATCGACATAACCTGAAAGGCCGCTCAGCAAGGAAGAAGCCACTGCTCCAAAACCGCCATAAAAAAGCCAGACCACGGTTTGCAACTGCACATGGGGACAAAGATCTTACTTTTTGGAGAAATGTCCTCTGGTCTGATGAAACAAAAATATAACTGTTTGGCCATATTGAACATCGTTATGTTTGGAGGAAAATGCTGTGGGGGTGCTTTGCTGCTGGAGGGACTGGTGCACTTCACAAAATAGATGGCATCATGAGGAAAGAAAATTATGTGGATATATTGAAGCAACATCTCAAGACATCAGTCAGGAAGTTAAAGCTTGGTTGCAAATGGGTCTTCCAAATGGACAATGACCCCAAGCATACTTCCAAAGTTGTGGCAAAATGGCTTAAGGACAACAAAGTCAAGGTATTGGAGTGGCCATCACAAAACCCTGACCTCAATCCTGTAGAAAATGTGTGGGCAGAACTGAAAAAGCGTGTGCGAGCAAGGAGGCCTACAAACCTGATTCCGTTACACCAGCTCTGTCAGGAGGAATGGGCCAAAATTCACCCAACTTATTGTGGGAAGCTTGTGGAAGGCTACTTGAAACGTTTGACCCAAGTTAAACAATTTAAAGGCAATGCTACCAAATACTAATTGAGTGTATGTAAACTTCTGACCCACTGGGAATGTGATGAAAGAAATAAAAGCTGAAATAAATCATTCTCTCTACTATTAATCTGACATTTCACATTCTTAAAATAAAGTGGTGATCCTAACTGACCTAAAACAGGGAATTTTTACTAGGATTAAATGTCAGGAATTGTGAAAAACTGAATTTAAATGCATTTGGCCATCCGACTTCAAATGTACATGAAAGTATTCTCTCAATTGGATTGAGCTTTCTTTAATTATTTCATTGTGAAGATACATACTTAAACTTTTATTCTTGAATATAAGAAATAGTTCAGTTATGGGTTTCGAGATTTGAGAGTGGAAACTTTGAGTGTAAAGTTCAGATAGTGAGCAGAATACTATCAGCATTAAGGAAAAACTATTATTCAATAATCTCAACCTAACAATGTTCAAACATCTCTTAACTACAGCCAGAGTTAATGCATTTGTTTCTCTAATAATAATATCTCTCCTCTTTGTGTGTCATCTGGTCAAAGCTAGTGCACTACATAGGGTTCCACTTGGGATGCATCATGTGTGAATAATTCCATTCTCATTGTGCAATAAGGACTTGGTTAGGACCTACAATGGTTCTTAGATTAGATGTAGGATCTTAATTTGAGCCAGTTTGCTACAGCAGGAAAATAATCCTGCAGCAATAGGTAATGTGATTATGTAGATTGCAATTAATGGACATTTTTGCACAGTGTTGGTCTAATTATGAGATTATGCGTTTGAATATGCTGTTTTTTGTCTGTTTTCTGTGGCTGTGATTTTCAACCAACGTGAGCATTCTTTTTGTGTGATCACTGATCATGTTTAGTTTTGATGAGAAGTCTTTTTGTGTGATCACTGATCATGTTTAGTTTTGATGAGAAGTCTCTTGTATGATCACTGATCATTAGTGATTAGTGCTTTTTGAGGTCGGTTCGGTTTCGATTATAATAATTTTTTATTTGGGTTGAAAACTGTAACCACAGAATAAAACAATTAATAAAAGTCCCATGATGGTAGTGACTGCTTATCATGCATTTCACACATATTATCCAGATACTGACTGTTAGCACTTGGTGGTCTATAGCAGCTTCCCACCAGAATGGGCTTTAGGTGAGGCAGATGAACCTGTAGCCATATTACTTCAACAGTATTTAACATGAGATTTACTAGGATTAGATGTAAGGAATTGTGAAAAACTGAGTTTAGATGTATTTGGCTAAGGTGTATGTAAACTTCCGACTTCAACTGTAGGTAGCATTCTCAGGATGAGTGGCGATCAACCGAGGAATTGAACCGTATGCAGGTAAAGCGGTTGGCCTCAAAAAGGAAACGGAATCCCTGATGGGCCCTGAAGGAGACAAGGAGTCTTCACTGGCCCTGAAGGAGACAAGGAGTCTTCACTGGCCCTGAAGGAGACAAGGAGTCTTCACTGGGGGGCTCATTAAGAAACAAACCTACCTGGGGAATCAACAAGAAAATATACAGTACGTTGCATTCCAAAAGGCACCCTGTTCCCTTTATAGTGCACTACTTTTGACCAGGGCCCATTGGGACTGTATAGGGGACAGGGTGCCATTTGGGACGCATTCATAGACAGATTCCCCATGGAATACTGAGTGTTGAAAATATACAGCGTAGCAGAACACACTGGGAGACGGAGTGATGGGGTGGTTTCATTCCGTGTGATATTATTGGACACAAGCTTTTGGGAGTCCATCCATCTCCAATTACCATTCAAAACCGTGTGCAAAAGAGCTAGTGGGGCTCTGAGACCTGGGGGACTTTTGAGGGGTCTTGGTGGGGCGCTGAGGCCTGTGTGTGTGCTGGGGGGGCTGGTGAGATAATGCTGTAGGCTAGGGAGCTGTGGGGTGTATTGTGAGGCTGTGGGAGCCCTGAGCTCGGGGGCCGTGTTGTGTGCTGTAGGCTCCAAGATGGACGGCTGTGGGGTTTGAGGCTCGGGGGCTGTGAGCTGGGGGTCCTGGTGGGGCTCTGAGGCCCGGGCGGGCTGGGAGATGCGGGTCCTGGTGGGGCTCTGAGGCCTGGGCGGGCTGGGAGATGAGGGTCCTGGTGGGGCTCTGAGGCCTGGTGGGGCTGTGAGATGCGGGTCCTGGTGGGGCTCTGAGGCCTGGGCGGGCTGGGAGATGAGGGTCCTGGTGGGGTTCTGAGGCCCGGGCGGGCTGGGAGATGCGGGTCCCGGTGGAATCATTCCATGTTGTGTAAAATAACATATTGTTCACCAGAGAAATGAAATCCAGCTGGATGTGTTTGTGAATGCTCTGACAAAGATTCATGTTGACTGAAAGCTTAGTAGGGGAGAGTGGGGTAAGTTGAGCCTTTTTTTACATTCAGCATCACTACGTCAAGGGAAATATAGTATTCTTTCTAACAAAGATATCTACATATACTGTAGTTCAGGATGTTGTGTATCCCTGGAAATAATCAGAATTCATGTAAACATTACAGTTTTGAAAACATAGCTTGTCTCTTGGCACAATTTATGCCGGGTATGTGGTAAATTGATTAGCCAGACAGGGTAAATTAAGCCGGCTACAAATTTTGATACTGAATGAAATATTTCCAAACACAATTCAACACAATAGTTTTTTTGTCTTTTTAATAATTTTAAGCACATTTTAACAAAGGCTTGACATCTAAAAAACACTTTGTACTTAAAAAAAAAAAAAAAAAAATGTTTAACATTGTTGTTACTTCATATCCCAGAGATAATGCATTATGCCTGGGCAGAAATCATTTCAATTTGCTCAACTTGCCATTCGCTCAACCATTGGCTCAAATACCCCAAGGCCATACGCTCAACTCAACCCAACGCAAACATTTGGACTATATTAGCCCACACAGCAACAAGGATGCACTTTCATGCTAGGTTTAGGACCTCATATTGAAACTTATAGAGACCCCAACTGATGTATAGAAAAAACTTTAAATTGTCTACTTTGGTTTACCATAAATTAATTATCTACTTTGGTTAACACAATAAATTAATTTGACTTGGCGAAAGACTGTTTTTTTGGACCTAACTTTTTCCATGTGGTTTCTTCCTTCACAGACTCCTTCATGACATATTCCTAAATATTTGGTCCAATGGGTTAGGGTTAGGTTGTGTATGGTTTCTTAGAAACAAGGATGGCTCAACTTACACCTTTGGCTCAACGTACCCCACTCTCCCCTACATTAAACACTGGCTCAACATACCCCACTCTCCCCTATGTTAAACATTGGCTCAACGTACCCCACTCTCCCCTACATTAAACACTGGCTCAACATACCCCACTCTCCCCTATGTTAAACACTGGCTCAACGTACCCCACTCTCCCCTACATTAAACACTGGCTCAACATACCCCACTCTCCCCTATGTTAAACACTGGCTCAACATACCCCACTCTCCCCTACATTAAACACTGGCTCAACGTACCCCACTCTCCCCTATATTAAACACTGACTCAACGTACCCCACTCTCCCCTATGTTAAACACTGGCTCAACGTACCCCACTCTCCCCTATATTAAACACTGGCTCAACATACCCCACTCTCCCTACATTAAACACTGGCTCAACGTACCCCACTCTCCCCTATGTTAAACACTGGCTCAACATACCCCACTCTCCCCTATATTAAAAACTGGCTCCACGTACCCCACTCTCCCTACATTAAACACTGACTCAACGTACCCCACTCTCCCCTATGTTAAACACTGACTCAACGTACCCCACTCTCCCCTATGTTAAACACTGACTCAACGTACCCCACTCTCCCCTATGTTAAACACTGGCTCAACGTACCCCACTCTCCCCTACCCTACATTAAACACTGACTCAACGTACCCCACTCTCCCCTATGTTAAACACTGACTCAACGTACCCCACTCTCCCCTATGTTAAAAACTGGCTCCACGTACCCCACTCTCCCTACATTAAACACTGACTCAACGTACCCCACTCTCCCCTATGTTAAACACTGACTCAACGTACCCCACTCTCCCCTACATTAAACACTGGCTCAACATACCCCACTCTCCCCTATGTTAAACACTGACTCCACGTACCCCACTCTCCCCTACATTAAACACTGACTCAACGTACCCCACTCTCCCCTACATTAAACACTCCCCTACATTAAACACTGGCTCCACTTACCCCACTCTCCCCTATGTTAAACACTGACACTTGCATCTGAATCCAGAGACCTGTCACAGTTTGTGTTCAGGAGTAGTAAACATTTAGTCTCCTGGAGAATCTCTGAACAACAGGCAAACAAACAGAGACAGACTCATGGACACAACAACAACAACAACAACAACAACAACAACAACACTCTTGTCAAGAGGGCGCAACCCCGTCTCTACTTCCTAAGGCGGCTGAAGAAATTCGGCACGCTGCCCCGGGTCCTCTCCAAATACCATCGAGAGCGCCTTGACCGGTTCCATCACGGCCTGGTACGGGAATGGCTCCGTGCACAACCGCAAGGCCATCCAGCGGCAACCTGCAAGTAGGCGTTAGGTTGGATGAGGTATACCATGCGCATGCCGTAAGACTAATAAAACTTGAAACTTTGATAACCGTGGCAGTAGCCTTCTCTCTCTGTCCTCCATCATGTCTCTGTGTTAGTCTGGCCAGACGCCTCATAGAGGGTCTATTCTCCACAGACTCTAGCGCAGGGGTCTCCAACCTTTTCTAGAATCCTATTTCGCTACTTTGAAAAAATAAAACATGTCGTGAGCTACTCATTTATTTATAGCTTTCAAATAGGCCCCGTTCTTCTTGTCTCCCCTGCAACTCTTCCCTGGGTTCTTAGTGCACCACTTTCTAAGTTTTTTGTTCATAAATAATGGTTAATAATAAACTGAAAGGGGGGGCTATAAAATCTGTGATTTTTTCCCCCCCCCACAATTGTTTTATATTTTCCCAAATTATGTTTTCTCAGTTTAGTTTTTTCTGGTTTTAGATATTTTGGGGGTTTTTCACTCTCAAAATTAAAACTGTTCACAGAGAAACAAAAAAATTGGATGTTCTGAGTCCATGTCAATGCTAAAATAATCAGAAGACACATTTCTTTAGGTCTGAAAGATAAAAAATAAAAACAAACTGAGTGTAGATCCCCTTTAATTGTGCATCTGGCCCTTTTAATTGCACATCTAGTGTATTTGTATTTATTATATAATATAATATTATTAATATTATATATTATATTATATTTATTATGGATCCCTCCAGGCCTGGGGGCAGACCATTTCTAGTGGGCTTAGATTGAAGAGATGGCAAATAGGAGTGGCAATATCGTCCGCTATTATCCTCAGTAATAAAGTTGTCAGACCCCGGTGGCTTGTCATTGTTGATAGACAACAATACTTTTTTTCACCCTTTCCACACTCACTTTACTGAATTCAAAATGACAACGCTTGTCTTTCATAATTTGGTCAGATATACTTGGATGTGTAGTGTCAGCGTTTGTTGCTGGCATGTCATGCCTCAGTTTGCTCATCTTGCCAATGAAAAAATCATTGAAGTAGTTGGCAATATCAGTTGGTTTTGTGATGACTGAGCCATCTGATTCAATGAATGATGGAGCAGAGTTTGCCTTTTTGCCCAAAATTTCATTTAAGGTGCTCCAAAGCTTTTTACTATATTTTTTTAAGTCATTTATCTTTGTTTCATAGAGTAGTTTCTAATTATTTTTATTCAGTTTAGTCACATGATTTCTCAATTTGCAATACGTTTGCCAATCGGTTGTGCAGCCAGACTTATTTTTCCATTCCTTTTGCCTCATCCCTCTCAACCATACCATTTTGCAATTCCTCATCAATCCACAGGGATTTAACAGTTTTTACTGTCATTTTCTTAATGGGTGCATGCTTATCTGTAACTGGAATAAGCAATTTCATAAATGTGTCAAGTGCAGGGTCTGGTTGCTCCTCATTACACACCACGGACCAACATATATTATTTACATCAACAACATAGGAATCACTCCAAAACTTATTGTATGACCTCTTATACACTATATTAGGCCCAGCCTTTGGAACTTTGGTTTTCCTAGAGATGGCTACTATATTCAGACTTTACTTCAGATTTGTTGGTAGAGTTCAGACAGGACTTCAGTTTTGTTGGTAGTGTGTAGACATTTATTAAGACTTTGATACAGATTTGTTAGTATAGTGCAGACATTTATCCTGAATTTAATTCAGTTTTGTTGGTAGAGTGTAGACATTTATTCCAACATTACTTCAGATTTGTTGGTAGGGCGCGGACATTTACTCAGACTTTACTTCAATTTTGTTGGTAGATTTCAGATTTGTTGGGAGAATTCAGACATTTATTCAGAATGTACTTCAATTTTGTTGGTAGAGTGCAAACATTTATTCAAACTTTAATTCAGTTTTGTTGATATAGTGCAAACATTTTGTCACGCCCTGACCTTGAGAGGCCGGTTGTCTTTAGTTGGTTTGGTCAGGGCGTGAGTTTCTATGTGTATGTCTATGGTTAGTTCAAGGTTTGTATTTCTATGTTCGGCCGGGTGTGATTCCCAATCAGAGGCAGCTGTCGCTCGTTGTCTCTGATTGGGGATCATACTTAGGTAGCCTGGTTGCCTACCTTTATTGTGGGATCTTGTTTGTGTTTCGGTGTGTTTGGCTTGTTTGTGTTTAACCTTCCGACGTCACGGTTCATTGCCTTTTGTAGTTTTGTCTGTGTTTATTGTTCTAATAAACATGTTCGCATACCACGCTGCACCTTGGTCTGACCCGTCTCTCATACCACGCTGCACCTTGGTCTGACCCGTCTCTCATACCACGCTGCACCTTGGTCTGACCCGTCTCTCATACCACGCTGCACCTTGGTCTGACCCGTCTCTCATACCACGCTGCACCTTGGTCTGACCCGTCTCTCATACCACGCTGCACCTTGGTCTGACCCGTCTCTCATACCACGCTGCACCTTGGTCTGACCCGTCTCTCATACCACGCTGCACCTTGGTCTGACCCGTCTCTCATACCACGCTGCACCTTGGTCTGACCCATCTCTCATACCACGCTGCACCTTGGTCTGACCCGTCTCTCATACCACGCTGCACCTTGGTCTGACCCGTCTCTCATACCACGCTGCACCTTGGTCTGACCCGTCTCTCATACCACGCTGCACCTTGGTCTGACGCGTCTCTCATACCACGTTGCACCTTGGTCTGACCCGTCTCTCATACCACGCTGCACCTTGGTCTGACCCGTCTCTCATACCACGCTGCACCTTGGTCTGACCCATCTCTCATACCACGTTGCACCTTGGTCTGACCCGTCTCTCATACCACGCTGCACCTTGGTCTGACCCGTCTCTCATACCACGCTGCACCTTGGTCTGACCCGTCTCTCATACCACGCTGCACCTTGGTCTGACCATCTCTCATACCACGCTGCACCTTGGTCTGACCCGTCTCTCATACCACGCTGCACCTTGGTCTGACCCGTCTCTCATACCACGCTGCATCTTGGTCTGACCCGTCTCTCATACCACGCTGCACCTTGGTCTGACCCGTATCTCATACCACGCTGCACCTTGGTCTGACCCGTCTCTCATACCACGCTGCACCTTGGTCTGACCCGTCTCTCATACCACGCTGCACCTTGGTCTGACCCGTCTCTCATACCACGCTGCACCTTGGTCTGACCCGTCTCTCATACCATGTTGCACCTTGGTCTGACCCGTCTATCATACCACGCTGCACCTTGGTCTGACCCGTCTCTCATACCACGCTGCACCTTGGTCTGACCCGTCTCTCATTCAATGCTGCAACTTGGTCTGACCCGTCTCTCATACCACGCTGCACCTTGGTCTGACCCGTCTCTCATACCACGCTGCACCTTGGTCTGACCCGTCTCTCATTCCACGCTGCAACTTGGTCTGACCCGTCTCTCATACCACGCTGCACCTTGGTCTGACCCGTCTCTCATACCACGCTGCACCTTGGTCTGACCCGTCTCTCATACCACGCTGCACCTTGGTCTGACCCGTCTCTCATTCCACGCTGCAACTTGGTCTGACCCGTCTCTCATACCACGCTGCACCTTGGTCTGACCCGTCTCTCATACCACGCTGCACCTTGGTCTGACCCGTCTCTCATACCACGCTGCACCTTGGTCTGACCCGTCTCTCATACCACGCTGCACCTTGGTCTGACCCGTCTCTCATACCACGCTGCACCTTGGTCTGACCCGTCTCTCATACCACGCTGCACCTTGGTCTGACCCGTCTCTCAACGATCGTGACACATTTATACTTTACTTCAAATTTGTTGTTAGTGTGTAGACATTTATTCAGACTTTATTTCAGTTTTGTATTTAGAATGCAGACTTTTATTCAGACATTGCTTCAGTTTTGTTGATAGATTTCAGACATTTATTCAGACTTTACTTCAGTTTTGTTGGAGGAGTGCAGACACTTCAGTCTTTGCTTCTTTTGTCTTGGTAGTGTGAAGACATTTATTCAGACTTTACTTCAGTTTGGTTGGTAGATTGAAGATATTAATTCAGACTATACTTCAGTTTTGTTGGTGGTGTGTAAACATTTATTAAAACTTTACTTCAGTTGTGTTGATAGAGTGCAGACATTTATTCAAACTTTACTTCAGTTGTGTTAGTAGAGTGTAGACATTTAGGCAGCCATTGTTCTTCTGTATTTTTGTTGTAGCTTAGCAGAAGCACAGAGGTAGAACAGGCTAATAATGAAGAACAGGCTGACAGTGTAGAACAGGCAGATAACGTAGAACAGGCTGATAACGTAGAACAGGCTGACAGTGTAGAACAGGCTGATAACGTAGAACAGGCTGATAACGTAGAACAGGCTGATAACGTTGAACAGGCTGACAGTGTAGAACAGGCTGACAGTGTAGAACAGGCTGACAGTGTAGAACAGCCTGATAATGTAGAACAGGCTGATAATGTAGAACAGGCTGATAACGTAGAACAGGCTGACAGTGTAGAACAGGCTGATAACGTAGAACATGCTGACAGTGTAGAACAGGCTGATAATGTAGAACAGGCTGATAACGTAGAACAGGATGACAGTGTAGAACAGGCTGATAATGTAGAACAGGCTGACAGTGTAGAACAGGCTGATAATGTAGAACAGGCTGATAATGTAGAACAGGCTGATAATGTAGAACAGGCTGATAACGTAGAACAGGCTGACAGTGTAGAACAGGCTGATAACGTAGAACATGCTGACAGTGTAGAACAGGCTGATAATGTAGAACAGGCTGATAACGTAGAACAGGCTGACAGTGTAGAACAGGCTGATAATGTAGAACAGGCTGACAGTGTAGAACAGGCTGATAATGTAGAACAGGCTGATAATGTAGAACAGGCTGATAACGTAGAACAGGCTGACAGTGTAGAACAGGCTGATAACGTAGAACAGGCTGATAACGTAGAACAGGCTGATAACGTAGAACAGGCTGACAGTGTAGAACAGGCTGACAGTGTAGAAAAGGCTGACAATGTAGAACAGGCTGATAATGTAGAACAGGCTGACAGTGTAGAACAGGCTGATAACGTAGAACAGGCTGATAACGTAGAACAGGCTGACAGTGTAGAACAGGCTGACAGTATAGAACAGGCTGACAGTGTAGAACAGGCTGATAATGTAGAACAGGCTGATAATGTAGAACAGGCTGACAGTGTAGAACAGGCTGACAGTGTAGAACAGGCTGACAGTGTAGAACAGGCTGACAATGTAGAACAGGCTGATAAAGTAGAACAGGCTGATAACGTAGAACAGGCTGACAGTGTAGAACAGGCTGACAGTGTAGAACAGGCTGATAATGTAGAACAGGCTGATAATGTAGAACAGGTTAATAATGTAGAACAGGCTGATAGTGTAGAACAAGCTGACAGTGTAGAACAGGCTGACAGTGTAGAACAGGCTGACAGTGTAGAACAGGCTGACAATGTAGAACAGGCTGATAACGTAGAACAGGCTGATAACGTAGAACAGGCTGACAGTGTAGAACAGGCTGACAGTGTAGAACAGGCTGATAGTGTAGAACAGGCTGACAGTGTAGAACAGGCTGATAATGTAGAACAGGCTGATAATGTAGAACAGGTTAATAATGTAGAACAGGCTGACAGTGTAGAACAGGCTGACAGTGTAGAACAGGCTGACAGTGTGGAACAGGCTGACAGTGTAGAACAGGCTGATAATGTAGAACAAGCTGATAACGTAGAACAGGCTGACAATGTAGAACAGACTAAAAATGTAGAACAGACTGACAACGTAGAACAGGCTGACAGTGTAGAACAGGCTGACAGTGCAGAACAGGCTGATAATGTAGAACAAGCTGACAGTGTAGAACAGGCTGACAGTGTGGAACAGGCTGATAGTGTGGAACAGGCTGATAATGTCGAACAGGCTGATAACGTAGAACAGGCTGACAGTGTAAAACAGGCTGACAGTGTAGAACATGCTGACTGTAGAACAGGCTGATAATGTAAAACAGGGTGACAGTGTAGAACAGGTTAATAATGTAGGACAGGCTGATAATGTAGAACAGGCTGACAGTGTAGAACATGGTGACAGTGTAGAACAGGCTGATAGTGTAGAACAGGCTGAGAGTGTAGAACGGGCTGATAATGTAAAACAGGGTGACAGTGTAGAACAGGTTAATAATGTAGGACAGGCTGATAATGTAGAACAGGCTGACAGTGTAGACATGGTGACAGTGTAGAACAGGCTGATAGTGTAGAACAGGCTGATAGTGTAGAACAGGCTGATAATGTAAAACAGGGTGACAGTGTAGAACAGGTTAATAATGTAGAACAGGCTGACAGTGTAAAACAGGTTGACAGTGTAGAACAGGCTGATAACGTAGAACAGGCTGACAGTGTAGAACAGGCTTATAACGTAGAACAGGCTGACAGTGTAGAACAGGCTGATAACATAGAACAGGCTGATAACGTAGAACAGGCTGATAACGTAGAACAGGCTGACAGTATAGAACAGGCTGACAGTGTAGAACAGGCTGATAATGTAGAACAGGCTGATAATGTAGAACATGCTGACAGTGTAGATCAGGCTGACAGTGTAGAACAGGCTGACAATGTAGAACAGGCTGATAACGTAGAACAGGCTGAAAACGTAGAACAGGCTGATAATGTAGAACAGGCTAATAATGTAGAACAGGCTGACAGTGTCGAACAGGCTGACAGTGTAGAACAGGCTGATAGTGTAGAACAGGCTGACAGTGTAGAACAGGCTGACAGTGTAGAACAGGCTGATAACGTAGAACAGGCTGATAATGTAGAACAGGCTAATAATGTAGAACAGGCTGACAGTGTAGAACAGGCTGACAGTGTGGAACAGGCTGACAGTGTAGAACAGGCTGATAATGTAGAACAAGCAGATAACGTAGAACAGGCTGACAATGTAGAACAGACTGAAAATGTAGAACAGACTGACAGTGTAGAACAGGCTGACAGTGTGAACAGGCTGACAGTGTGGAACAGGCTGACAGTGTAGAACAGGCTGATAACGTAGAACAGGCAGACAGTGTAGAACAGGCTGACAGTGTAGAACATGGTGACAGTGTAGAACAGGCTGATAACGTAGAACAGGCTGATAATGTAAAACAGGGTGAAAGTGTAGAACAGGTTTATAATGTAGGACAGGCTGATAATGTAGAACAGGCTGACAGTGTAGAACATGGTGACAGTGTAGAACAGGCTGATAGTGTAGAACAGGCTGATAGTGTAGAACAGGCTGATAATGTAAAACAGGGTGACAGTGTAGAACAGGTTAATAATGTAGGACAGGCTGATAATGTAGAACAGGCTGACAGTGTAGAACATGGTGACAGTGTAGAACAGGCTGATAGTGTAGAACAGGCTGATAGTGTAGAACAGGGTGATAATGTAAAACAGGGTGACAGTGTAGAACAGGTTAATAATGTAGAACAGGCTGACAGTGTAAAACAGGTTGACAGTGTAGAACAGGCTGATAGTGTAGAACAGGCTGATAACGTAGAACAGGCTGACAGTGTAGAACAGGCTGACAGTGTAGAACAGGTTAATAATGTAGATCAGGCTGACATTGTAGAACAGGCTGACAGTGTTGAACAGGTTAATAATGTAGAACAGGCTGACAGTTTAGAACAGGCTGACAATGTAGAACAGGCTGACAGTGTAGAACAGGCTGACAGTGTAGAACAGGCTGATAACATAGAACAGGCTGACAGTGTAGAACAGGCTGACAGTGTAGAACAGGCTGATAACGTAGAACAGGCTGACAGTGTAGAACAGGCTGATAATGTAGAACAGGCTGATAACATAAAGCAGGCTGACAGTGTAGAAAAGGCTGACAGCGTAGAACACGCTGACAGTGTAGAACAGGCTGATAACGTAGAACAGGCTGACAATGTAGAACAGGTTAATAATATAGAACAGGCTGACAGTATAGAACAGGCTGACAGTGTAGAACAGGCTGACAGTGTAGAACAGGCTGATAACGTAGAACAGGCTGATAATGTAGAACAGGCTGACAGTGTAGAACAGGCTGACAGTGTGGAACAGGCCGACAGTGTAGAACAGGCTGATAATGTAGAACAGGCTGATAACGTAGAAAAGGCTGACAGCGTAGAACAGATTAATAATGTAGAACAGGCTGACAGTGTAGAACAGGTTAATAATGTAGAACAGGCTGATAATGTAGAACAGGGGGATAGTGTAGAACAGGCTGACAATGTAGAACAGGTTAATAATGTAGAACAGGCTGACAATGTAGAACAGGTTAATAATGTAGAAAAGGCTGATAATGTAGAACAGGGTGACAGTGTAGAACAGGTTAATAATGTAGAACAGGCTGACAGTAGAGAACAGGCTGATAATGTAGAACAGGCTGACAGTGTAGAACAGGCTGATAATGTAGAACAGGCTGAAAACATAAAACAGGCTGACAGTGTAGAAAAGGCTGACAGCGTAGAACACGCTGACAGTGTAGAACAGGCTGATAACGTAGAACAGGCTGACAATGTAGAACAGGTTAATAATGTAGAACAGGCTGACAGTATAGAACAGGCTGACAGTGTAGAACAGGCTGACAGTGTAGAACAGGCTGATAACGTAGAACAGGCTGACAGTGTAGAACAGGCTGACAGTTTAGAACAGGCTGACAGTGTAGAACAGGCTGACAGTGTGGAACAGGCCGCCAGTGTAGAACAGGCTGATAATGTAGAACAGGCTGATAACGTAGAAAAGGCTGACAGCGTAGAACAGATTAATAATGTAGAACAGGCTGACAGTATAGAACAGGTTAATAATGTAGAACAGGCTGATAATGTAGAACAGGGGGATAGTGTAGAACAGGCTGACAGTGTAGAACAGGTTAATAATGTACAACAGGTTAATAATGTAGAACAGGCTGATAATGTAGAACAGGGTGACAGTGTAGAACAGGGTGACAGTGTAGAACAGGCTGACAGTGCAGAACAGGCTGACAGTGTAGACAAGGCTGACAGCGTAGAACAGGTTAATAATGTAGAAAAGGCTGACAATATAGAACAGGTTAATAATGTAGAACAGGTTAATAATGTAGAAAAGGCTGATAATGTAGAACAGGGTGACAGTGTAGAACAGGTTAATAATGTAGAACAAGCTGACAGTGTGGAACAGGCTGATAATGTAGAACAGGCTGACAATGTAGAACAGGCTGATAATGTAGAACAGCCTGAAAACATAAAACAGGCTGACAGTGTAGAAAAGGCTGACAGCGTAGAACACGCTGACAGTGTAGAACAGGCTGATAACGTAGAACAGGTTGATAATGTAGCACAGGTTAATAATGTAGAACAGGTTAATAATGTAGAACAGGCTGACAGTGTAGAACAGGCTGAAAGTGTAGAACAGGCTGACAGTGTGGAACAGGCCGACAGTGTAGAACAAGCTTATAATGTAGAACAGGCTGATAACATAGAAAAGGCTGACAGCGTAGAACAGATTAATAATGTAGAACAGGCTGACAGTATAGAACAGGTTAATAATGTAGAACAGGCTGATAATGTAGAACAGGGGGATAATGTAGAACAGGCTGACAGTGTAGAACAGGTTAATAATGTAGAACAGGTTAATAATGTAGAACAGGCTGATAATGTAGAACAGGGTGACAGTGTAGAACAGGCTGACAGTGCAGAACAGGCTGACAGTGTAGACAAGGCTGACAGCGTAGAACAGGTTAATAATGTAGAAAAGGCTGACAATGTAGAACAGGTTAATAATGTAGAACAGGTTAATAATGTAGAAAAGGCTGATAATGTAGAACATGGTGACAGTGTAGAACAGGCTGACAGTGTAGAACAGGTTAATAGTGTAGAACAGGCTGATAACGTAGAACAGGCTGACAGTGTAGAACAGGCTGATAACGTAGAACAGGCTGATAATGTAGAACAGGCTGACAGTGTAGAACAGGCTGACAGTGTAGAACAGGCTGATAACGTAGAACAGGCTGATAACGTATAACAGGCTGATAGTGTAGAACAGGCTGACAGTGTAGAACAGGCTGACAGTGTGGAACAGGCTGACAGTGTAGAACAGGCTGATAATGTAGAACAGGCAGACAGTGTAGAACAGGCTGATAACGTAGAACAGGCTGATAGTGTAGAACAGGCTAACAGTGTAGAACAGGCTGACAGTGTGGAACAGGCTGACAGTGTAGAACAGGCTGATAATGTAGAACAGGTTGATAACGTAGAACAGGCTGACAGTTTAGAACAGGCTGACAATGTAGAACAGGCTGACAGTGTAGAACAGGCTGACAGTGTAGAACAGGCTGATAACGTAGAACAGGCTGACAGTGTAGAAAAGGCTGACAGTGTAGAACAGGCTGACAGTGTAGAACAGGCTGATAATGTAGAACAGGCTGACAATGTAGAACAGGTTAATAATATAGAACAGGCTGACAGTATAGAACAGGCTGACAGTGTAGAACAGGCTGACAGTGTAGAACAGGCTGATAACGTAGAACAGGCTGATAATGTAGAACAGGCTGACAGTGTAGAACAGGCTGACAGTGTGGAACAGGCCGACAGTGTAGAACAGGCTGATAATGTAGAACAGGCTGATAACGTAGAAAAGGCTGACAGCGTAGAACAGATTAATAATGTAGAACAGTCTGACAGTGTAGAACAGGTTAATAATGTAGAACAGGCTGATAATGTAAAACAGGGGGATAGTGTAGAACAGGCTGACAGTGTAGAACAGGTTAATAATGTAGAACAGGCTGACAATGTAGAACAGGTTAATAATGTAGAAAAGGCTGATAATGTAGAACAGGGTGACAGTGTAGAACAGGTTAATAATGTAGAACAGGCTGACAGTAGAGAACAGGCTGATAATGTAGAACAGGCTGACAGTGTAGAACAGGCTGATAATGTAGAACAGGCTGAAAACATAAAACAGGCTGACAGTGTAGAAAAGGCTGACAGCGTAGAACACGCTGACAGTGTAGAACAGGCTGATAACGTAGAACAGGCTGACAATGTAGAACAGGTTAATAATGTAGAACAGGTTAATAATGTAGAACAGGCTGACAGTGTAGAACAGGCTGACAGTGTGGAACAGGCTGACAGTATAGAACAGGTTAATAATGTAGAACAGGCTGATAATGTAGAACAGGGGGATAGTGTAGAACAGGCTGACAGTGTAGAACAGGTTAATAATGTACAACAGGTTAATAATGTAGAACAGGCTGATAATGTAGAACAGGGTGACAGTGTAGAACAGGGTGACAGTGTAGAACAGGCTGACAGTGCAGAACAGGCTGACAGTGTAGACAAGGCTGACAGCGTAGAACAGGTTAATAATGTAGAAAAGGCTGACAATATAGAACAGGTTAATAATGTAGAACAGGTTAATAATGTAGAAAAGGCTGATAATGTAGAACAGGGTGACAGTGTAGAACAGGTTAATAATGTAGAACAAGCTGACAGTGTGGAACAGGCTGATAATGTAGAACAGGCTGACAATGTAGAACAGGCTGATAATGTAGAACAGCCTGAAAACATAAAACAGGCTGACAGTGTAGAAAAGGCTGACAGCGTAGAACACGCTGACAGTGTAGAACAGGCTGATAACGTAGAACAGGTTGATAATGTAGCACAGGTTAATAATGTAGAACAGGTTAATAATGTAGAACAGGCTGACAGTGTAGAACAGGCTGAAAGTGTAGAACAGGCTGACAGTGTGGAACAGGCCGACAGTGTAGAACAAGCTTATAATGTAGAACAGGCTGATAACATAGAAAAGGCTGACAGCGTAGAACAGATTAATAATGTAGAACAGGCTGATAATGTAGAACAGGGGGATAGTGTAGAACAGGCTGACAGTGTAGAACAGGTTAATAATGTAGAACAGGTTAATAATGTAGAACAGGCTGATAATGTAGAACAGGGTGACAGTGTAGAACAGGCTGACAGTGCAGAACAGGCTGACAGTGTAGACAAGGCTGACAGCGTAGAACAGGTTAATAATGTAGAAAAGGCTGACAATGTAGAACAGGTTAATAATGTAGAACAGGTTAATAATGTAGAAAAGGCTGATAATGTAGAACATGGTGACAGTGTAGAACAGGCTGACAGTGTAGAACAGGTTAATAGTGTAGAACAGGCTGATAACGTAGAACAGGCTGACAGTGTAGAACAGGCTGATAACGTAGAACAGGCTGACAATGTAGAACAGGTTAATAATGTAGAACAGGCTGACAGTATAGAACAGGCTGACAGTGTTGAACAGGCTGACAGTGTAGAACAGGCTGATAACGTAGAACAGGCTGACAGTTTAGAACAGGCTGACAGTGTAGA